TACACCTTGTTATCTCAGATTCTCCAGCATCTGCAGTTCCTACCATCTCCACTATATGTGAAATCTACATGAGAATTGAATGAATCAAATTTGCAAAAGTAGTCTGAAATGGAGTCATAGAATGTTTTCAGGACAATTTCTTAAACCAACATGTTCTAGGTCCAACCAGAGAAGAGGATATGACAATGTGCAATAGGATAGGATTACTTAATGATCTCATAGTACAGGACTCAATAGGTAGCAATTGTCATTAAATGATTGAACGTTCCATTCAATTTGGGGGAGGGCAGACTGGTTCCAAGACTAGTGTGATACACTTAAATGAGGGTAATTATGAGAGTTCAAAGACAGGTCTGGCTAAAAGTGAACAGGAAATTTGGTTAAAGTATAGTTCACAAGAATTGCAGTGGCAAACTTTATGGAGATATTTCATAACATTCATACATTCCAGTGAGAGAGACTCTAAGAAAAAGATGCATCATTCAAGGCTAAATAAAGAAGTTAGATATAGCTATGGGGAGGCAGTGGCAAAATGGTAATGTTATTGGACTTGTAATCCAGAAACTCAGAACAATATTCTGGAGACATTGGTTTGAATCCCATGACAGCAGATGGTGAAATTTGAATTCAACAAAATCTGGAATTAAAAGTTAGCCTGATCATAACAATGTCAATTGTCACAAACACCTGTCTGTTCACTGATGTCCTTTAATATCCTCATCTTGCCTGGCCAGCATGTCAGTCTGGACTCATTGTAATATGGTTGACTCCCGTGAATGGATAATTTGTAAAAATGAGCACAGAAAGAACAGAGAGTGGTGGGTGCGTGGAATGCGCTGCCGGCAATGGTAGTGGAGTCAGATACATTAGAGACATTTAAGCATTTCTTGGCTAGACACATGGATGATAATAAAATGTAGGGTATGCAAAGTAGTTTGATCTTTCAGTAGGATAATAGGTCGGCACAACATTGTGGGCCGAAGGGCCTGTACTGTGCTGTCCTGT